TCATTATCCTCCCTTGTATTTATCCATATGTTGTAGTTATCCTAATCATTATAGGATTAGGATAATCATCCCCTTTATTTGTAGCAATCCTTATCTCCTAAGGAATATGCTTTATTCTCTTGTATGTATATATATATGTGTAACCACGTGATTAATAATACAATGAGAGTTACAACCTTCTTCTTTATTCTTTAACAAATAAAAGGATAAATTACGAATAATAAGGAAAATCCAGTTGGTGGATTTTTAAAATAACTGACAATCAACCGTTCTACTGTCGAATCCAAAACTCGCCCAAATTATTATGTGAGTGTGATGATAATAACGATAATTGATAAATCATTTTTACTAAAAAAAAAAGAAAGAAAATAAAGGAAGCGCGTGGGATCGAGGCGTCGTAGTGATGAGGTGGCAAGAGCTCGTGGGGGAATTGAATGAAAGCTGGGCAAGATAAGGACGGGAGAGAAAGAGTGGGGCCCTTTAGTGAGAGATGAGAGAGCGACTCGCAAATCTCATATCATACATTATACGAAGCCTCCTTTGCTTTTGATTTACTTTTTTTTTTTCCTTTTTGTTTTCGAGATCCAAGTAGTAGTGGTACTGTAGTAGTCGTGGGAGGGAGTAGTAAATCTGAATGTTATAGTCGGTGCGAAGATGAGGAACAGCGTTGAGACTGTGAACGCCGCCGCTACCGCCATCATCACCGCTGAGTCTCGTGTACAGCCTTCGTCTGTGCAGGTAGCACACAGCTTCTTCTTCTTTTCTTCTTCTTCATTTGGTTTGGTTTTTGCTGAGTTTGAAATGTGTTTATATACATCAGTATCATTATACCACGATCTCAGATCGTGATTTCCAGATTTGTAGTTTTTTTGTTTGATTGCTATGAAAGACTGATCTGCACAGTTATAATTGTAGATCAGAGCTGATTTTACTTTTCTTTTCTTGGTTTCAACGACTTTGATGGTTCTCTTTTTACTTTATATCCTCGTAAAGGTTAAAAAAAAAAAGAAACTAGTTGTTTGGTTGCTTGATAAAGGTAAATGTGTGTTTCTTTGCTTTACAAGGTCATCATTGTAAGCATTCAGTTCATGATTACAAAAGGGTAATAAAGATGAGTAGTTTGAAAAGTTATGTTCACTTATGTTCTGTCTCTTTTTTTATTTCAAACTACTTTGAAATGTTTTATTGAAAACAGTTCTCTAAAAACGGGATCTAATTTCAGTTTGTTTTGACTTAACAGAAGAGAAGGTGGGGAAACTGTTGGAGCTTAAACTCATGTTTTGGATCTCAAAAGAACAACAAACGGATTGGTAACGCCGTTCTTGTACCGGAACCCGTTGCATCTGGAGCTCCTCCGGCGATTTTAATCCAAAACTCAACCACTTCGATAGCACCTCCTTCATCTCCAGCTTCCTTTCTTCAGTCTGGTCCTTCATCTGTCTCTCATACCCCTGTTGGTCCACTTTCTCTTACAAGTAATACATTCTCCCCTAAGGAACCTCAATCCGTCTTCTCTGCTGGACCATATGCTAACGAAACTCAACCGGTCACTCCTCCGGTGTTCTCCGCATTAATAACCGAGCCGTCCACTGCCTCATTCACTCCACCTCCTGAATCTTCACTCCATATAACTACACCTTCTTCCCCTGAAGTTCCCTTTGCTCAGTTGCTTACATCTTCTTTGGAGCTTACTCGTAGGGATAGCAGCGGGACGAATCAAAAGTTCTCGTCTTCACATTACGAGTTTCGGTCTAACCAAGTGTGTCCGGGGAGTCCTGGTGGTGGTAACTTGATCTCCCCTGGCTCAGTGGTTTCAAACTCCGGCACTTCTTCTCCTTACCCCGGTAAGTCACCAATGGTTGAGTTTCGAATCGGGGAGCCTCCAAAGTTCCTTGGCTTTGAGCATTTCACAGCTCGCAAATGGGGATCCAGGTTTGGTTCTGGCTCAATCACGCCTGTTGGGCACGGTTCAGGGATGGGTTCAGGCGCATTGACGCCAAACGGTCCAGGGATGGTTTATGGAAACAACACTGCATGGCCACAGATCTCTGAGGTCGAGTCTCTGGCTAACTCGGATCATGGGTCTGAAGTCATTGTAGCTGATCACAGAGTTTCATTTGAGTTAACAGGCGAAGACGTTGCGCGCTGTCTTGCTAGCAAGCTGAACCGGTCACACGACAGAATGAATAACAATGACCGGATTGAGAAGGATGAGAGAAGAAGCATAGAGAGTTTGTTAGGAGATAGAGAGACCGAACAGCAGAGGATTCATCAGCTCAGTTCCTCCTCGGTTGGATCTAGCAAAGAATTCAAATTTGATAACACGAAAGAAGAGAGTAGTGAGAAAGTCGCAGGAAACAGCTGGAGTTTCTTCCCGGGGTTACGATCTTGAGTCAGCTAACAAAACTAGCTCCTTCTACGTTACCAAGGACTATATATATAAAAGAACCAATGAACAAACCATTGAACATTACTCAGTGAGATGGTGGAGACAGGGGTAAGAGAATGGGTTCTGACAACTTATATACACTACTGAATAAATAAGCTAGTTAGCTTTGGTTTTGCAGTTGTTGTAAGAACAACTTCTGTACTGATGTAATTAGGAATCTTGGAATACTATTTTAATCTTGTTATATTGATATATCGATGATTCGTTGTGCAATAAAATTATATTTCTTTTGTTATATATTATCATAGTAATATTCCTCCGGAAGTATTTGAACTGAGATGGTGACTGCTCTATAATGAACTCTAATAAAAAAACATGAACTACAAAAACTGAATTATGTTAAAAAGAGGAAATAAACAACATCCAGATCAAGATTAATACTAAACCGAGCAGGACCGATTAAACAAAAAGACAACAATGTTGACAAAAAAAAACAAAAGACAACAAAAGCTGCAAAGATTAACCCCGCTATTACCTTATTGTAAAAGGTTCTCAAGAGGTAAACAGAAATCAGACAACCAAAGAGATTGAACAACAAAAGCTTTAAATTCACTTTAGATCACGATTTATCCAAACATGACCGAATAACCCCCAAAAACAACTAAAGGCTTGAATTGGTCTAAACCGAATTCAATTCTCCTTGCTGGAACCGTAATACCTCTTGAATGCCCTCGGTAGATAAACCGGAATGAGAACCCCAAAGAGATTAAACGACCAAACCCCTAAGTTCACCGCCGCCAAAACTTTCCCGGCAAACATCCGCCGCTCCGAAACCGTCCCCACCCCTGTGCCATACGCCGGAGATTCCCTTGAGAACTCTTCCATAATCCACTCCACGAGAGTAAGGACTCTCCTAGCGTTGTAAACGATGGGCACGAGGATCCGAGCAGGAGCAGAGAAGCCAAAAGTGGCGGCCAATCCCTCCATGAAAACCTGACTCGCCAGAAGGAACACGTGCGGTGCGGCGGCGCTCACACCGTGTTTATCGTCCTCGAGGAGTCCTTCGAAGATGTAGCAGATGGGAAGTAGGAGCCCGACGATCCCCGCGCAAGCTACGTAGAAACGGAAAAACTTGTTGGTGGAGCTTGTGAGAGGCTCGTCCCGGTTTTGATTCTCGTGCGGAGGGAATACTACTTTGGAGATGAAGAAGAAGTAGATGAACGTGAGGAGTGCGAATAAAAAATCTATGACCGTGACAAGACCGCTTGCGGAGAGGACGAGGATTACTGCGAGGACGTTTAGCTGCCGGAACGAAAAGAATCCGGTGGTTTTTCCGACAGCGTGGTGGTGTTCGTCTTTTGGTAAGGCTATGTCGTTATAGGTCGGACCGACACCTCCAGACATGATTTCGGGGTTTGTGTAAGCTTCTTTCTGAGAAGAGAAGATGCGTTTTGGTTTTCTTTTTTCTCGGGGAAGAGAGCAGTGTGTAGAGGGAAGATAAAAGAGAGTGAAGAAATAGATACGTGGCGGATGAATGGAAAAAGTTCAGATACGTGGAGGATTTCGCAGAACCGGTGGGGTTTGTTGTCTATTGTCTATTTTAATAGGTTAACTGACGAGAGATTTAACATCAAAAAGGAAATTATTTCTTAAATAGGAAGAAGAATATTCATATTAAGGATATGATCGAACTAATAATTTTCAGAATCCGGTAAGGTGAAATAAAAAATGAAATTATGTTAGACCATCCGGGACGGGTAATTTAACCAAATGCTTAGCACGTATTCTTAGATAAATAGACTTAGATAATCATATTTAATTTATATAAACTAAAAATCAATCTTTAACTAAGGTATTTTAAGGATTTAATCATTAATGACGTGGCAAGACCTGATGTGTTAAAATTTTAGCTTAAAAAAATTAAAAATCCTAAGACCTAAATCCTAACCTCTAAACTCTATAATTCTAACCTTACGTTTAGATTAACTAACCCAAAGAACATAAATATATTTTTACACTCTTTAATAAAATCTATTTTAGTCATGGTTCTATTTATGGACTATATTTATGACAAAAAAATTTTTTTTAGGGTTATCTAAGTCATTTTCACATGAAAAATTTTAATTTCACATATTTTAAAATTTAATATTATTTTTCCTAAGAACTCCATAATATATAACATCATTGGAGGAACATTTGTGATTAGAGTCCTTAACTATTTAAAAAAAAAAACAATTATTATATTGGTAAAGACTCTAATAATGAATAGCACCATTGGAGATGCTCTTACACAATGAAATTAGATGTTGTTTAGACTAGATTTTGTCTGTTCACTAAGATCATTGTCAATGTCAGCAATTACTTTCGTGCCTTACTTCTCTCAATCCTCCTAGTTTTAGAGTATCATACCATGATTAATCCAGAGTTTTTAGAGTGGGATTTTAAAAAATCTGTTTCTTAATTTTAACTAAAAAGATTAAAAACTGATTCTAAAAGTCCTTATTTAAAACTAGTTTTTAGTTTTTTTAGTTAAACGTTAAGAAACAATTTCTTAACTTCCGCTAAGGCCATGATTATCTCGGGTTTTTAAAGGGAGATTTTTTAGAGAAATATAAGAAACTGTTTCTTAACTATTAAAAATTTAAGAAACAATTTCCTATATTCCCCTAAAAAACCCGCACTAAGAAACTATGGATAATCATGGTCTAAGAACATTCAAAGGCCTTAGTATCTCAAATCATGCTTGTCCAATTTTTATATTTATATTGTAATACAAATTATTTATCTAAATAACTTTTAAATGTTTAAAACAATTGTGCTAATAATTGAAAGACACCTGAATAATTCATTTCTCAAAAATTGGTCATAGTTTCTCCATAAATAAAGGTTCTGCACAATTTTCTTTTTCTCTTTCATCAATTATCATAGTTTATTAATTCTTTTTGGTGAGAGACTATGTCAAATACTATCATTAATGTTTCTCTAAGAAACCATCCTAAAAACTCCGAGTTAATAATCTCTCAAATTCTAAAATTGAGATTTTCAGACGTTGGGACTATATATATGTATTAATATTTAATTATGATTATTTTAGTTTTATAATAAATTCAATTCGAAAATATTTTGGTTTGACTTTGGATTGAGTTTTCCATAAATTTAAGATACTTATAATTAAATATTAAAATTTATTTATACAAATATATGTATATATATATGTATATTGAAAAAAATGCTAAAACATTTTTGGGAAAATTATTTTTTAGACAAAAATAAGTATATTATCCCATTAGACTAATTTTCAAATATGTACCATTTTTATCTCTAATATTCTTTTCTATTTATAAAAATCAATCAAATAAATAGTTTTACAAACAAAATTATTTTAAAAATAAACTACTGATGAAATATCTAAATCAAATTAGAAGTATTTTTTTTGGTTGAATTTTTTATATATAAAAATCTCATATTTCATTCTATGGATAGCATAATTGGCATTCTACTAACTGGAAAATAAAATTCACATTTTTCATTAAATTTACCAAGGCTAGAATATGTTATCTACGTAAATTGAGTAATCTAAAAATATTTGGAATACACATTCTACGCTTAATTTATCACTCTACAACATATATAACACATAATCTACACATTATTTAGAAATCTAAAATTGGTAGAAATTGATTCAAACATGTTCATTGTATTGTACGGATAAATATGAACATTTTCAAAAAATATGAAAGAAAATATTTGGAAATATTCATTTTCCATATTTGGAAAAATTGAATTATTATCTTATATTTTTATACTTGACAACTAGTTTAATTAGTTTCCATATTGGAAATATTAATTAATTAATTTGTTAACTTATATTTTTATATTTGACAATTATTTTTAATTGTATTTTATATTTGACAATTAGTTTTCTATTTTTTTTATATATATATATATATATATATTTGATATTTAGTTTTATATATTTGATTGAATGTTTATACTTGATATTTTGTTTTATGTTTTTATATTTGACAACTAGTTTCCATATTGGAGATATTAATTAGTTTACTATTAACCTATATTTTTTTATATTTGAAAATTAGTTTTTAATTTTCTTATTGAGGGTACAATTGGTATTTCGGAAAAGTATCCTAATGGGATAACTATAGGCTGAGTTTAACCTAACTAAACAATGTACCTGTTTTTTTGGCAATAAAAAAACAATTTTCTCAACTTTTTATTGGGAGTAAGAGCACCATTATCAATGGATTGCTAGTATCATATCTCACAAATTTGAACATAAAATAAACAAATAAATATGTTAAATACTGAGATATCCTACCAAAAGTATCTTTAAATGAGAATTCTGTAAAATAGTCTAAAGAACAGACTCAACAGAGGAACCCTCTTGTTCTTCTGTTCTGGATGGATATGTTTGGAATCACCAAAAGACATGAGTCTACTCAGTTATAATTGGATATAATCTACTCCAATTAATTAAGATGAGCCCTACACATGAAATGGTTCTCGAACCAAGTGTCAAAGGCCTCTAGAGTCATGTATGGAAGTTAATAGCTCTAAGCAAGATAAAGCACTTTTTGTGGCAAGCTATTTCGGGCTGTGTGGCGACAGCAGAGAGGCTAACTTATAGACACCTGGGCACCGATAGGAGTTGTCCTAGATGTGCTGGCCTAGTGGAGTCGATTAATCATCTCCTTTTTGAGTGCCCCCTGACATGCAGGTTTGGGCTTTATTGGACTATCCGTCTATTCCGGGTGACTTCCCGAGTATATCTATTTACCAAAACATGAACTTTCTGTTTTGAAAGCGAAAAGAAGTGGCTCCTCGGAGACCACAATTCGACACTTTCCCATGGATCTGTTGGTATTTTAGAAGGAAAAAAACGACAAACTCTTTAATGGGAAATATGTATCTCCGATGGACACTCTTCAACATGCATCTCTTGAGGCAGAATGTTGGAGGAAGCCAAACGAGAAGGAGGAAGTAAATGAGGATCATGAGGTACCTCCTAGTTTAGAGCCCCCTAGGATCCTCCAAACCCCTACATGCCAAATTGATGCATCATGGATCGATAATGGTAGTGTCAGTGTCTAAGGGTGGAGTCTCAAAGAACAAATGGGTTCTGAATGGTTCGGACTACGGGCGTATAGAAGGAGCCTATCAGCTCTGCATGCCGAGATGGAAGGCATATTGTGGGTAATCTCATGTATGAGAGATTTGAGGATGATTTAGATACGGATTGAGACGGATTGTTCGGATCTAGTGGACATGACTACTAGACCAGAGGACTGGCCGGCTTTTGCGACAGAGATCGAGGTGTTTCAGTGACTACGGGAGGACTTCGAGGATGTGAGTCTGTCTCATATTCCGCGGAGTAGAAATGGACGAGCGGATGCACTAGGTAAAGAAGCAAGGAGTAGAGGCTATACATTTTCCCATATAGATCAGACCCGGCCAGATGGAGTTTTTCCTCGGGGAATCGACTTGACTGGTCACCACTTGATTTAGAGTAAATGGGCGGCTGACCCAAAAAAGAAGAAACAGATTCGTTGAGTGTAAATTGAAAAAGTTTTTGTCTTTCACTAATTTAAAAAGAGGATATACTTTGAAACCACTAAGAATTTTCTTGTCTATGCATTTAGATTGAAAAGTGCAGTCCAATCTTCTTTTTTTTTTCCAATTTTTGTAATAAAAATGTAAAGATATTATTACCAATTTCCTAATTTTTGACAGAAGAACAAAAAAGACAAGTAGCAGAGAAAATAAATAAAACCTAAACACGCATCCAATCTAGCCAAAACAGGGACATACATAACAAACAGCAGCCACTACTCGGAGACCTCAACTAATCCGCACTACCGCTTGTCGCGAAAAGAAGAACCACAGTTATAGTGACAGTCAGAACCTGGTAATTGTGGCCTCCCCAGACCAAGAACAGCTCGAGACTTCCAAAGCATCAGTCACCACAAATAAACAGCTACGGCTGAGGTCTAGTACACCCATGACAATAAGACAGAGCATTAATGCAAGGCGCCAAGAAACTATACAAAGCAGGCTGATGACAACAACATCTCCACAAAAGGCACTTTGAATCCTCTGAACAAACCCGAATAACCCATACATGTGAAGGCAGGACACTAAGCGACTGACTCCAGTGCTAAGATTAGCCCTGCGACTTCAGTTATTTGGTTTGGTTTGGGTCGGGTAATTCGGTTTGTCGGTTGAATCGGAATTGAGAATTTTTACCGCAAATAACCGATTTTAAAATTCGGTTCAATTCGGTTTGGTTTCGGATTTTTACGGTTTATTAACATTGGTCCGAAAATAACCGAAATCAATTTAGAAATCAAATTTCACTGTTAAATCGGTTATTTTTGGGTTGTTTCAGATATATTCGGATAGTGCATTGTGCCGGTTTATTCGGTTATCACTCGGTGTTGGGGTC